TTTTATTAAACCGATGCTCAGTTACTCAGTAGTCCTCTTTTGCGTGAAATATTATAGCTCGTGGTTCCCAGCTTAATCCTTGAATCAGTGCTCTAATGTGAGTGATATGCTCGCTAAACTATTCATAAACATACTTGTCTTTTTGATGCATTTCTGCATAAGATTATTTGATATAAGAAAAAAAACGGTTTAAAAAGAAACGGTTACCTAAATTATCAAGACACATTTTTCTCAAGTTGTGCATGATCATTATTATGATCCAGAAATGCACTTGAATGAATAAAAAAGCTCGGCAAAAAAACAAGAAGATAAAAGGGAAGAAGTCAATCGGTTACTTTCACGTAATCTACACACAATAAAAAGGTTCTTCACTTTTCACGAAACACACACACGCACGCACGCACGCACGCACGCGACGCCACGCACGCACTGCAACGCAACGCAACGCACCACACACACACACTTGCTCCACACAAAATCAACTGGTGATCCAAATCGGTGGGGGGACGACATGTTGATATGATGTCCGCCCTCTGAAAATTCGTGGGGGGGACATGTCCCCCTGTCCCCCCTGGATTTGCGCCCCTGCTATCTTCTATAGAGAGATAAATTAAGGCTGTAAATTGTGTACCAGTAGAGTACAGGGTAATGCAACTAAAGGTTGCTGAAAGTTTCACATTCTGAAGTTCACAGTTTTAATACCGAGGAAGGGTGAGATATCAATATTCACATCAAGGGTGGGAAGCAGTGGGGAAAAACGCTGTTTACTTATACTGCCAATTAAGACTTGGAACTACCACAACATATTAGGATAAATGCCTTATCTTATAATAGTTTTTTAAGTATAGTGTTAAACATGTTTAATGGAAAAGGTTGAAACGTTGGAGGCAGAACGAGTTTGAATCCCACTAATCTGATTTGATTGTAAATATGGTACTATAAGAAATGTATAAATTATGAAAAGAGTAAAACTTACAAGTAATTAAAGTACAAATTTGTATATTTCGAATAGTTTAAAGTGCTGATGGTCGTGTGCTGTTATTAATAACAGTAAATGTAGCAAGGACCACAATGTAAATAAGTGTGCTATAGTCATACTTTATATATATATATATATTCTTGTAGTTATTTAATTTCAATGATTTAAAATCTATTGTAACAGTATAATGTATAAAAGAATTTATGGATAATTTACCGAAACAAATAAATAAATTGAATAAATAAAATAAAAGTAGAGATGCGCTTATCTCGCTGGCATGACGCTGTAACAATTAACATGACCCGCATGACGACCGGAGAAGGTGTTGGAGTAGGTGGAGGAGGAGGAGGAGGAGGAGGAGGAGGAGGAGAGGAGGGGGAGACGGTTGTTGGAGTAGGGGAGAGGAGGAGGAGGAGGAGGAGGAGGAGGAGGAAGGGGGTGGAGTGAGGAGGAGGAGAGGAGGAGGGGAGGAGAGGAGAGGGAGGCAGGAGGAAGGAGGGGAGGAGGAGGAGCGAGGGGAGAAGGTGTTGGGAAGTGGAGGAGGAGGAGCAGGAGGAGAGGAGGAAGAGGAAGAGGGGGAGACGTGTGTTGGAGTAGGGAGGAGGAGGGTAGAAGTAGGAGCGGAAGGCAGGAGGAGGAGAGGAGGAGGGATGGAGAGAGAGGTGAAGGTGTTGGAGTAGGTGGCGGGGAGAGTGGCAGGCAGGGGAGGAGGAAGAGGAGGAGGGCGCGGAAGGTGATGGAGAGGGTAGGTGGCAATAGGCAGGAGGAGCGAGGAGGAGGGAGGAGGAGGAGGAGGAGGAGGAGGAGGAGGGGAGACAGTGATAGATGAGCAAGAGGTGAGAAGGTGATCCTACCTCCTACTCCTCCTCCATTACCTTCTCCCCTCCTCCTCTTTCTCCTCCTCCTCTCCTCCTCCATCCCTCTCCCCTCCTCTCCTCTCTCTCTTCCCTACTCCATCACATTCTCTCCTCCTCCTCCTCCTTCTCCTCCTCCTGCCGCCTACTCCTTCTCCATCACATTCTCCCCTCCTACCTCTTCCCCCTCCTCCCCTTCCTCCCCCTCCATCCCCCCTCCTCCTCCGCTCCCTCTACTCCATCACCTCTCCCCTCCTCTCCTCCTCTCCTCTCCTCCTGCCTTTCTCCTCCTCTGGCCCCTACTCCTCCTCCACACCACGCACGCGCGCACACACGCACACACACAAACTTCAAATTCAACGTTTTAGATTTACCAACACATATTATCAGGAGCGTATAATGACAAATATTTGTCATTATACGCTCCTGATATTATGTAGTATAACTATCAGGAGCACTTAATAGAATCTCCGTTGTGGTATGGTTACAGATATTACCAGTCCTGATATTACTATTATGTACCCCTAAAAGTTACTATAGATTCTAACTTTCAGAGTAATGTTACGATTGTAAAAACTGCTTTGTGGCTATACTAGCCCACACGCACGCGTTACAGATGTAATGTATTCTCATGCAGACAAAACATTCGCTTCTTCACTTATATATATTTAAACGTGTTTACCTGGTTTTTTCCTTGACTTGCGCGTCCTCACTGGACAGAGAAAGGCCATGTTTCCGCTGTTGTGTCCCGACAGTCACAAACGACAATAACGGAACGACGACGACGTCTGTGTGCGCCTGCGGAGTCACTGTACCCTCCTCTCGAATTAAACACGCGTAAGCAGTAACGCCGGTGGACCGGTTTACTGCCAAGGGCAAGAACCAGGTCGTTCTTACTTCGTCTGCGACTACCTATACACACTTATACCCTTCTCATCGGCACCGCACGTCAGCTGTGACTATATGTCATGTCGTCGCAAGGCGAAGATAGCAGCGAGTATGCAAGAAACGAGCGCACGCTGTCGCGTTGATGCGAGCGATGTGAACTCGCAGGCTTGCCGGCAAGTAGGCTACGTCGTTCTCCCCGCGTCGCTGCATCGCTCAACGGTCGTCGCGTTCAAACTCGCCGCGCTAACGCCGGTCGGCTGCCGTCGGCGGTGGGGAGAATAGGGCTGCCCGCCGCGCGCAACGACCGCTGCCATCTGTATGCTAATGAGCCGTTTTGCGGGCAACCCTGTTGCCGGCAGAACCTCTCCGCTCTGTCATTGCCGACTGTAGCCGCGTACGTATAGTCGTATACCCTATATAGCTTATAATTATAATATATATAATATATATATATATATATATATATATATATACAGTACATGTATGATTCTGTTTACATCTGGGTATGGGATGGGGTAGTGGATGGGATATGTATATCTGGGGATGGGATGGGGTCGGATGCGATGGGATCGGATCGGATCCCATGGGATGGCATAGGATGGCATGGTATGGGATTGGATAGAAGAATCTGGGATGGGATGGCATGGGTGGCATAGAGTGGCATGGCATGGGTGGCATGGAGTGGCATGGCATGGGATGGGATAGAAGAGGATGGGATGGGATGGCATGGCATGGCATGGGATGGGATGGGATGGGATATGATGAGATGGGATGGGATGGCATGACAGGGCATGCCATCCGATGGATGGATGGATGGATGGATGGATGGATGGATGGATGGATGGATGGATGGATGGANTAGACGCGAACCGGCAGGCAGGTTATTGTAATGTCGAACTACTGCTTCCATTTTCTCTTTTTGTTGAACCGATGTGTCAGTCAGTGGGGGAATATTTGAAATTAATTACCGAATGAATAACGAAGAACATCGTGTTGATTTAAGATTAGGGCAGTAACAAAACAGGGCTCTTGCTATCAAATACGTAAATACGTATTTTACCATAGGACAAATAATGATGCAAAGATTTAATAGTGCGGGGGCACTATTTTAATAATTTGCGGATTCGCGCAGATACATTCAGTAAGGGAGACACATATACATCCCATGTATCGATATATGATACATGTAAGTCAGTATACGGGTGAATAAACGGCAGAAACAAGAACAAAACGAAAAGGGTTCCAATGAGCAAAGCTTTTATACGGATAACTGTATGAATGGAATGTTATGCATGGGATGGTGA